GTTCAGCACAAGTGTTTTAGAGCAAAATTGCTGTATGACCAAGAGAGTTTATGACCAAAGAAACTTTCATCCATCTCTTATAAAGAGTCAGCTGCGCCCACTACAATCGCTTTCATCTGTACAATGTGGAAACACAGACTTTCCTACCGAACAAAGGTACCCACAATTAGGGGATACGTCCCGGGACGTTAACGAATCAAAAAACATGTATTTAATGGTTTGGCGTGAGAAGGCATGGGTTTCAACTTTTGAGCACACAAGTAAATGTACAAGGCGTTAGACACTGTTACGAATGCCCTGCGGGAAGCAGCACGAAGATCAGTTGGTACAATATATGAAGCAAGAAAAGAACAAATTCTGTTTTGAAAATTGAAAACTGCCTATGAAAGAGAAGATCCTGCGGCTGCCTGCGAAGGCAGAGGAAGCAATGCGAACAATAACCTTCCCCTCCTATGTTATATGACTTTGAACCCTCCAAGTTGAAAGGCAGTTGGAGTGCGTACCCGAAATGTGCTGGAGCAGATAGCCAGTTTGTTGTAGAACGTCAGGACCGTTGGTCAGTGTCGTGTAATGTTATCGCATGAGCTGATTGTTTAGTATCTGGTGGTGTTAGTGGATAGTATAGCGTACTTTATAGTTCCTCGGTCATTTTCTTTTCTAGAAATTTATCCTTGGCTCTCTATCCTTGTTCGCATAGCTTCCCCTTTAATAGATCTCCGCATCTTTGAGCCACACAAGTTTAGTGCAGTGTTTCTTCGCGTCCTTGAATTGTGGTTTGACTGTATTGTCAATTGTCTTTCCAGTGCCGTCATCGACATGCATCTACATCCGCCAATGTCCTTCACAGCTGATTCTTTCAGCTTGTGCTTGTCTTGGTTGCGCTCACCGTCCCCTCCTATGATTGCTATCTTAATAGGAAAGTTATTCTCCATATTCTGATCACATCTGCCTATGGCCAACTACCCTTCACTTTGTGTAGTGTCGCTATTGCTGTCTATGTCTCTGTGTGTGCCAGTATATGTGGAGCGAGAACTGGACGTCTGTTAGAAAATTGGGTTCACATTGCAGATGGAGAATATGCAGCAAGGAGACGTCAGCTGGCGACAGCATCTTTCCGATCATTGGGCAATGTGTGGTCCAACATGATAAATGAGCAATGGCGACTTCATTTGTACAATGCATTTGCAGTCCCATTTTTTATGTACAATAGACGTACCTAAGGACTAACGCAAGCCGAACTCTCGAAGATAGACTCGGTCAATCGTTCAATCGTTCTCGAATCGGTATAATCATCAACATGATATACGGCAAGCACATACCGAAATCCAGGATCTACAAGAGATGTAACTCCAAACTAGTGAGAAGCATGATCCAGCGCCAGCGTCGGAGATTCTTTGGTCATGATTCTTTGGTCCTCCACATCCCGAGCGACACTCCCGAACAGCAAGCCATGGCAGCGCATTTCGGAACCACCTGTCGACGTGATTTCATTGTATTTCGAGGGCGACCCGCAAAACCATTGTGGTCACGGCCAAGGAAATATGACCCGAAGTGGAGAACGATTTTCGGATATGGGGATCCTCACATGGATACGCAGTGTAGCAGCGGAAAAGCATGTCTGGCGAACCTCTCAACAAGGCTAACGCATTTGATTTGGGGAAAACCCGCCATCGAAACAGTATATCCTCAACAATTCAAACCATCTCTGGCTGTTGTTGGATTCTTCGCCTTGTTGTTCAATTGGATTGTACCTGCTCTTACACTCATGGGCTTATCCTGTCACAAAACCCTGCTCTGTACACATTCTTCATACCTAATAAGTGCCTTTTCTCTCTTTCTTTCTCTCTCTCTTTCTCTCTGTCTCTCTCTCTCTCTGTCTCTCTCTGTATGTCTCTCTCTCTGTGTCTCTTTCTCTCTCTCTCTCTCTCTCTCTCTCTTCTCTCTCTCTCTCTCTCTCTCTCTCTCTCTCTCTCTCTCTCTCTCTCTCTCTCTCTCTCTCTCTCTCTCTCTCTCTCTCTCTCTCTGCACTGCAAACTTCCCCTTCCCCCACCCCCAACTCCCTCCAAAACAGAAAAAGGTCCGCCACATGCCACCAAACCAATGGCACAATCATACACCCGTCAAAACCTCGCACCACAATCTACAGTTCATGCATACCTCGCCTTCGGTTTTGACTTTTTTGTTCAGCACGGGTGTGCTAGAAGCTGAGCGGCTAGGCGCATTGGCCAGACATTGAAAGTGCTGTGCTGTGGACTGGCTTTGGTTCAGCTGAGCTTCCATCTGCTGCTGCTGTTGTTGTTGCTGCTGCTGGTGCTGTTGCTGCTGATGCTGGGATAAATGCTGAGGGCGCTGCTGATGGAGAAGCTGGCGCTGATGCTGTTGTTTGTGCTGCTGCATTGCAGCAATATGCTGTGCAGGCATTGCTTTTTGTGTTGCAATGTCCATATTCATGGAGTTAGCTGCATGGAGGCAGAGAAAAGGATAGGATCAGCATTGCATAACATACATCTCTGCACAAGATCCACCAAAGCACTTAGCTAACATCGCACCAATGACGTGCAGCATGTATTGCACGACACACAATAGATTCATACTGCCTGTGGGAAAACCACCCCTGACAAACAAACCGAACTACCATGAGTTGAGACCAGTTCCAGAAAAAGCAAAAAGGGTAGTCAGAAAATGAGCCACTGGCTCGCTGTATGTGCTCTGGCCTGATAGCTGCAAAACTGCTCACACCATGCGTGCAGCAAGACGTCAGCATGACGTACACATGATACAAATAACCACATACATGTAATAAAGAGTGTAACGCGGAGTTGTGATGTCATAGTCACCACAGAATCAGTCAGAACAACTGCATACACTAACATGCCATCTACACTGTACCTCGACCTCTGCTTTTCTCCTGCTGCTGTTGTTGTTGTAGCTGCTGTTGTTGTTGTAGCGGCTGTTTTTGTTGTAGCTGCTGTTGTTGTAGGTGCTGCTGTTGTTGTAGCGGCTGCTGTTTTTGTAGCTGCTGCCGCTGCTGGTAGTTTGGTTGGGATAAGAGCTGGCGAAGCTGGCAAAGCTGCGTTTGTTGTGGTTGCACTGCAACGTTACGCTTGCCAATCTGTGGCTGCTGCACATATGCTGCCCTGCCTGCGGCATTGTCCACATTCATGGGGTTAGCTGCTGGATGGCAGAGAAAAGAATAGGATCAGCATTGTAACATACATCTCTGCACAGGATCCACCAAAGCACTTAGCTAACATCACACCAATGACCTGCAGCATGTATTGCACGACACACAATAGATTCAGACTGCGATCTACACTGTACCTTGACTTCTGCTTTGCTGCTGCTGTTGTAGTCCTGGCTGCTGGGGTTTCCCACGCTGTGCAGTTATGGTGTCCTTCACATAGTCTAAGATCATCGAATTATATTCCTCCTGAAAATGGATAAATCACAATCCATAACATTGTCATTGCAAGAAGACTGACAAAAGGACTGTTGACTACAACAGCGTGCATGCTCATATCACTATAACACATGCACGTGACTAGACGAAGACCGTCTGGTGAATGTCATCACACAGGAAAACAACACTTTATTTTACAATCATTTTGTGCCTTTTTGTTGCACTTGCTGACTGTATATATTGTGATCAATTTGCTGGACAGTTAGTCATAACTCGTACCACTTTGTCCTTCTCCATTTTACCCAGGATCACAATGGCTCACCATCCGAGTTTAAAATAATCCACAATTTTTAAATTGTGGATTTTTTAACTCGGATGGTGAGCCACTGTAATCATGTTAGAAGAATGAAAGTGTACGGCACTCACCGTAGTTTTAGCATGGTAGAAGAAACTGAGTTCCATCTCCAAAGCACCTTGGAGAATGATCCACAAACTCCCACGCTGTAGAGGAGGAATAAGGTTGACGATCGTTTGAAATCTGAAACAATAATATTCCAGAAAAGTCAAGATGTAAATCAGATCCTGAGCTTTGTGTTCAGAAGGAAAATGTGTTGTCTTTGCAGTTGTTTTGGCATTGTTCGTCATGGAGGTGAGATATAGATGCCTTTATCTCTTGATGTTTTTCTGTTGTTCTTTTTGTTCACAACGTTTGTGTCACCTAGTGGTATGCATGCTGTTTTTGACTCTTCACATTGATTTCTTTCTTCAGGTCATTTCTACACATAATTGGAGTGCTGCGTCTTTGAACTTCTTAATTTTATAGCTGTAATCCCTTAGTTTACTTCCATTATTCGTTGTAGTTTTGTGATAACAAGAGAAGGAAAATGTTCATTACTTATAAGAATGGTCCTAATTGGCTGGTGGTGTGTTCTTGCGTAGATGAATGCGTGTACATGTACAAGACACTTTTACTAATATGTTGTGTCTCCGTCCTAGTTACAAAAGACACGAGCTTGTGATTCCTTGCCCAGAAAATGTCATTCGGCAGAGATGAAAAGAGATGTGCACTTAACCCTTTAAGAGCCGCCCCATACTTGAATGCGTCGTAAACGACGCATTCAAATGCAAAACTTCAAAAGATCGTAACTCAGTCCAATCTCGCTCAAATCCAGTGATCGAAATATCCCGGGCGAAGAGAAAACTCTCACCTGTCGGGAGAAACAATCCGCGAAGCGCTGCGAGCAACGGTTCCTGAGATAAATCACTCGTAAGTTGAGCCGCGATCGCGGCAATTTCAAAAGCGCGCAGTGCGACTTTAGTATTGAGAATTTTGAGACTTTTCCTCACGTTGGTTTACTCGATTTTGCACGGGTTTCACTGTTGATATTGTCAAGAGTACACAGCGAAAAAATTGGAACTCCACGATCGAGTAAAATGAAATATCTGGAGCGGGACGCAATTGGACGCATTTGGGGCATTTTTCGTACTGTCGCTGCGATCTAGCGCTGGATAGACGGTGTGCTGGCTATCATGATCGACCTCATTCTCTTCCTCTCGCGGAGACCTTTCCAGGAAGCCCTAGATTGTGAGGATTGAGTGAGTAGAACTGAAGCTATGATCCAAGGAACACGAAAAAATGCAGAATTTTGAAATTTTCCTGTGGCTCTTAAAGGGTTAAACCCATTTAGCTTAGGACAACCGTTACCCCTTCGAACCCCTGCTGCAGGTGACAAGTGCCCCTGGTATTCAGTGTTGACGCTTCTTCAGCCTGATATCAGACCAGTATAACAAGGCAATGCAACTAGTAACTAGTATTAAAATATATGTGGACGCTTCGTCAAACCGGACTATGGAAACAGAACTCACATTTCGTAGATGCAATACCGACGCTGAGCGTGGGGATCACTGTCATTCCGACGTTGATCTGCCACATTTGGATCAGCTTGCCACGAACTGGTCCTATAAATATAGAAAGCATACAAACCATCATAGCCGGAGAAAACAGTATAGGAGCAGTAACGTGAGTACACTATCATTGAACAACACTGTTGACAGTGAGAGCGATACTGAGTGAACGTCACTACAAAATCAAACACGGAAGGTGCTCAGGATAGAAGTGTGAGGTTAGAAAACAACCCAGAGTACCATGACTCTTGTACAAAATAGGTGAGTCACGCTAGCCAGCAGTGCTCAAACCAAGAGGCTGTGTTTTGCACTCCACAGAACAGGTCTGGTGTTAGATGCCCTTCGTTTGCATACTAAAAAGGCAGGCAAAATTTAGTTAACTTCAGAAGTAGAGAGAGATGCTCACAAGCAGTCGCATACCTAAGAATGGAAAACTTACTCATTGATCATGAAGGCAGCAGCTGTTGCTGGGTTTAGTCCATTCACCATGTCCAATGTTGATTTCACGCCATTCCGAACATCTGTACAAAAACAGTACACGGATTCTGTAGCTCAGTCACAGGAGTCGCCTGGTGGTTAAAGCGTGAACAGGTAACATTACATTGAGGGATACAGACCCTAACCAGTGGCAATGAGAGCGCAATGGGATTTGTTCCAAAGTCATGCGAAAGGTGTGTGTCATCAAACATCACAAAGTGACCTAGTATGTCAGGCATAGCCAGGATCCAACACTCTTTATTGTGTACGTGTGTGTCAGCTATTGTAGTATATACATATGAGCCCGAGCGCGCTAAAACATGACCACAGCTTTTTTTGAAAAAGTCGAGATAATCGCGATTTGAATTCCGCGGCAAAAAATTCGAAGTGCAGTGCTCCAAACAGGAGGTATTTCGGACACCCAGCTCAGCTGCCTATAGACAATTTGGATGTGGCTGAGTACCTGTCAGCTCATGCTATAAGACCCTGGACATAGGAACTGACCCGGAAAGGATGAACCAAGGGGCATATCAATTGTGTGCAAAAATGACAATCCCATTGCTGTACATAGAATTTCACCATTTCAACAGTGCTGCATATAATACCATTGTAGCAACACTTAGACATTTCGGATCAATCCAAAACTTTTAGACAGTGAACATTAGGTGTGTTGGATCATTTTTTAACTAAAAACTGAAAATCGAATTTCTGGTCTGTGGTCATATTTTGACGTGCTCTGGCTCATATACTGCATGGCAAGAGATCCCGCTATGTTTTTAACTTATACAACTCCTGCACCTTCTAGGTCGTGAACTAGCAAACATAAATGCGTCGCAAACATTAGGCTCGGGAGAATGAAGTTGAGGACACCACTGAAGCTGTGCTTATGGTTGATAATCATGGTGGTACAGACATACCTGGCCAAACTCTCTCTATAGGCTGCAAAGTTCTGGCACAAAGCTCTCCTTCTCACCACCACCACCATCAGTTCGCGCCTGGCGCTTCGTTGAGGCATGATTGGTGGTATCCGACATAGCAAGCTGGTACATCAGGTAGCACATAGAAGATGACACAGCAATGGCATAGCTCGATTGCAACGTACGCTTCGTCCCCGCTGGACTCATTAGGCAATCTTTTTCTTGGATATCTTCTTATGGACCTTGACCCGGGAGAATAAAGTTGAAAACACCACTGCAGCTGTACCTATGATTGATTAATATGGTGGTACAACAATACCTGGCAATATGACCGGCACGAAGCGTGCTCACAATCAAGCTATGTCGTTGCTATGTCATCTTCCATGTGCATGCACTGTACCTGATGTACCAGCCTGCTATGTTGGATACCGCCACCATGCATCGACTAGGTGCCAGGTGAGAACTGATGGTGGTGGTGGGAAGAAGAAGAGCGCTGTGCCAGAATATTAGGCTGTTCACAATATTAGATTAAACAATACCTTGACCTCCGCTTTGCTGCTGCTGCTGCTGCTGCTCTCTCAAATCTATACTCCGTTGTTGTTGCTGCTGTTGTTCTTCACATGCATGCTGCATGGCAGGATCCCCGAGTTCTGACAACTGAATATATGCAGCATACAAATAATTACATCACAAGCCACAAAAATCTCATTGCTAGTGTTCTCTATGAGATTCGTAGAGCCTATGTATTTTAGTATCATTGCAGTTTGATCAGGAAAACGGGTCAGAGTTGCGGCACTGCAAAACACGTTTATGAGGGCATTGCCGCCCTGCTTCTATCAAGAGCCACATTGAAGGCTCTCGCATTTCTGCCACCACGGTGGCCCGTACAGTGCGCGGCGGAATGGTAAAAGCAGCGCCAAGCGATAGCAGTATTTCTGATAAGGACACGATCGAGGCAGATGTGGTAAGCGAATTTTCAGATATATTTAATCCCTCGAGCCTCCCACCCATGCACAGCGAACAAATAAAGATTTACCTGAAGTCCGACGCTAATCACGCCCCGCGCACCATACCACATGCATATCGGGAGCAAGTTAAGACCCAAATCGAAGAATTGGTACAGAAGGGAATCATTGAGGCAGTTACAGAGCCCTCGGAATTGTGCCACCCTATGGTCATCATACCAAAGAAAGGGAGCAGTGAGAAGCGTTTAGCAGTAGACCTCATGAAATGGAACAAGCAGGTGAAACGCCCCGTTCACCCGGCGTGCACCATTCGCGACCCGCAATCAGATATTGACACCGCACAATATTTCACGACTCTGGATGCTAGACACGGCTACTGGCAAGCGCCGCTGGCAGAAGAGTGATTCCTTTTGACCACATTCATAACTCTCTGGGGACGATATCGATATTTGCGCAATCCCTAAGGTCTTATGGTGGCGGGCGACGAGTTCAATCAGCGAATAGATACCATGTCGCATTTCAAAATATAGGGAATATGGGCAAAGTGGTAGACGATTGGTTGCTCCACGGCCAGCAGTTGGATACACATGTCGACTCGGAGGACGCGTAGAGTTTTGAACCAGGCGCGAGAACACGGTATCACATTTTCTGAAAAGAAGTTCAAGTTTGCAGAAAGTGAAGTACACTTTTGCGGGTACATGGTAGGCCAAACGGATTGGCGTATGGATGATGAGAAAATGAAAGCAATCAGGGAGTTTCACACACCGAAGAATTGCAACGATCTGAGGTCTTTCTTGGGACTTGCCAAGAAATTCACTGAATTCACACCTTCATTAGCCACACATTTACAGCCGTTGAGAGATTTGCTGAAGAATTCCACAGAGTTCATGGTTGTCTGGGCAAGAGCAAGCAATGCTTACTATGAAAAACACCCTCCTCGATTCCCCCACGTTGGCGTACTTTTGGTTCGACTGTCCATTGTGCCTTGAGACAGACGCGTCGAAGACAAACGGCTTGGGATTTGCACTGTTGCAGTTCCAAGACGGCGCATGGCGATTGATTCAATGCGGAAGTAGATATATTTCGGAAACGGAAGCACGTTACGCAATGAAAGAACTTCAGTGCTTAGCAATAGTATGGGCAGCACGAAATTGTAGCGGATTTCTGGCTGGCATCGAATTAACGATCATCATAGATAATAGGCAATTAGACCAATGCTGAATCGATACACAATGGATAAAATCGAAAAAAACCGATTGCTACGTTTGATTATGAAAATACAGGCATTTCAATTCAATGCAGAATGGAGAAAAGGCAAGGATCACTTTCCCGCTGATGCCTTGTCCCGAGCCCCTGTGGATCAACCAACAGGGGGGGGGGGACCATCTGCCCAATGGTGGACTAAACAGAGCTCACGGAGGATGACGCCGACCATGAAGACAGCGCTTTAAGCATTGGCAGAGTGTGCGCAGTTGAGGGACAGCAAGAGCTGGACATGCAGACGGCAACGCTCAGGGAGGCAGCGGACAGCGACCTGGAATACCAGGTGTTGCTGGCAACGATCTAGAATGGATTTCGACAGCAGACAGCCTACAGCTGCACAAAGCCATATCGGAATGTACGGGAACATTTAACAGTCGAACACAACACTCAGTACATGACGCAGGAACTCCCAATGTCCTTGGTCAATCTCAAGCAAAATCGGTGCCGAGTTCCAGATGTCGTACAAGTGCTTGTTGCTGAATGTGTTTGGGAACTTTTGAAAAGGGGAAGTATACCCTAACATCAATTGGTCACCACTTGTAGTCTTTGGGGTGCTGAGTCGAATGGTCTTACAGGCTACAGCTTTTACAGCGTTCCTGTCACACGAGTTGAACCGCTGAACCTTTGAGTTAAATCTTGGTTTGAAAGCTGTAGCCTGTAGGCACGGTGACCAGGTGGCTGGTGTACGCACGAGCACGTGGCCGCTCACTCAACCGGGGTGCAAAAAACTACAACATACGGGCCAATCTTGATCATCCGTGCTTTTATAAGAACAAAATGCCGCTTTTAGTGACATTTTGCATACAAATCCCAATCTTGTAGGGGGGGGGCACAGTCACCCTGTTTTGGTGGAAGTGGTGAATTCGATTTGGAATAAAGGAGGAAGGGAGCTTCTCCGCTTTCTCGGACCAAGAACATCCGACTCAGCACCCCGAAGACTACAACTGGTGAAACTTTGATTTTAGGGTATACTTCCCCTTTAACGCTAGCCATTGCTCTCATATGCCTTCAATGAAAGGTGTCGATCCCTCTGATGATAGCATCTGTGAGGCCCCATGTCACACAATGGTAGAGCAGCACTGTCTTCACATACAAACTGTACAGCACAACTCTAAGCAGGAATGAGGTAGATTGATGCTGGGAGAGTGCGTACAACGAACAGAATGCCTGGGTTGCTAGGGCCTTTCTTTCTTGGACATCTTGCGCTGGGCCTAGCCGTGATCCAAGTGACTTCGCATTTCTCCATGCTAGGAAATACGCTCCTCCGGATCATCAGCCAGGTAGGTTTAGTGGTAGGATATCATTTATGTTCGAAGTAAGTGAAATGTATTGACCACACAAACTGAGTAAAGGAGAAATCTATGTGATACTGGATGCAATTGAAATGATGAGCTTTTTTTGTTTTACAAATGACGAGGGTTGAGTTGGGTGTTGCCTCATTTTGTCCACAATCTCACCTATTTGCTCTTCTCCAGAAAACTTGACCAGGGATACTAAGGCATAACCGGCCAGGTCTCTTTCTCACTTCTTTTTGGTTCGTCCTTGTCATTGGATGCTTCTATATTTAAGATTCTTTATCCTCTCTTAAAAATAAAAGGGGGTTTGTCAACTGACAACTGCTCTATTTAGTTGCTATTCACTCTTTAGATGAAAATCCATACCCAGTCTTTGCATACCCACTCTTTCAGCGCATTTCTCCTTGTCGGTTGTACATGCAAATTCCGACACTCCATTGCATACGACTATTGTGTGGTTTTTACATACGATCTCGCTTGCTTTCGTTATAAAAGGCCAGGTTTGCTCCTTGTACATTGTCCTGACGATGGGTGACTGGCCCGAAACGTCAATAGTTTTTCAACATCATTAATAAAAGAATTTTCATCTAAAGAGTGAATAGCAACTGAATAGAGCGGTTGTCAGTTCACAAACCCCCTTTTATTTACAATGCAGTTGCATGATATCCACCACTTTTTTCTCCTCTCTTAATGATCATGAGGTATTCATCGCTGCATATCAACAGCTAACGGGGGTTGTTTCTTTCTGATACCTGCACATTCTGAGATCCTGGAGACTTCTACCCAGGGCTTCCCTAAGAGTCCCGAGGTGCACATTGCTTTTACTTGCGCATGCGGCATTCTCTCCAAGGTCTATACAATTTCCTGGTGTGGTGTGAAATGTGCACGATCAGACTAAATCACATAACAGCAGTGGATAGATGTGAACAAGCATGAAGTATAAACAAACAGATCCACGTTTTGACAAAGAAACTTTACATAACTCACCTTAAAGTAATAGTATTCCGTTTGCATGCAAAACCGGGCAATCTTCTGGCAAAGCCAATCAGGTAGACCAGGATTAGACATGGCGGACTTTTGAACTCTGAAGAGAAAACATTTCAGAAAAGACAAGAGTCGGTAGTTACTTGCGCAGTAAATGTCATTGGGCACAGATGAAAACAGATGTCCACACAAACCTCTTCAGCTAAGGACAACCGTTCACCTTTAGAGCCTATGTTGCAATTGACACATGCCCCTGGGATACAGTGTTGACGCACCCCACCACGGCTTGTGCTGCCTGACATCAGACCAGTACAACAAGGCAATGCAACTAGTATTACACTACATACCATCAGGCGAAATAGCACGTCATAGTACATTTGAGATCAGCGGGAAGAAGATGACGACGTCCACTAATTTAGTATCTGTGCACACGAAGCTGCTGTGTGTGTGACTCTGTGTGTCAGCTATGATATCATCTTCTGTGGTTCCATGCCTAGCAATGAGATAACTCTCATGCCAAGGCTGATTCGCCACAGGTGGACACACTTGCAACAATGACTAGATCGATAAATTACAGTACCCAAAGCATCACACCCAGAGAAAACATCACAGGAGCAGCAGTAGCGTCAACACTCGTACAACCATTGTACAAAGCTGTTAGCGAGTGAGATTTCTCAGAGAAAACGATACAGGGTGCTTGCCTCTCCAAACTCAAACACAAAAGGTGTTCAGGATAGAAGTGTGAGGTTAGAAAACAACCCAGAGCACTATGACTCTCACACGAAATAGGCGAGCCAGCAGTGCTCAAAGTAAGAAGATGAGTTTGGCACTACACAGGATAAGCCCGGTGTTAAATGTGCTTCGTTTGCAAAATAAACAGAGAAACATCTGCATATGCTCATTACTCAGAAAGAAGGCAAAGTTTAGTTCACAGGAGAAGTAGAAAGAGATGCACAGACAAGCAGAAACATAGTTAACAATGGAAAACTTACATTTGCTTGATATACTCATTGTTGGCCGTGGGGTGAGCACCTGGCTGTTGCATATTGCCAGCATATACATGACTTCTAGGCAACGCAGCAGTGGGAGCCAGGCCAGGACTACCACCACGTGTATCACAACCTGGAGGAGCCAAACCAATAAAACCGAGATTAGAAGCACCAGGCAGCGGCGTTGCACCAGCAAATCCGGCACCAACACCAACACCATTCCCAGGCGGAGGCAACATTCCCGTGCCTTGGTTTACTTGGATCATGGGGGCAGCAGCTGTTGCTGGGTTTAGTCCATTTACCATGCCCGGTGTTGGGTTCACGCCATTCAGAACATTTGTACAAAACAATATAGCTCTGTAGCTCAGTCACAAGAGTCATTTGGTGTTTAAACCAGAGAACAGGTACAGTGAGGGATACAGTACCCGCCAGTGGCAATGAGAGCGCAATGGGATTTGTTCCAAAGTCAAGCAGAAGGTGTGTGTCATCAAACAACGCAAAGTGACGTAGTGCGTCAGGCATAGCCAGGATTCAGCATATTTGTTCCTGTGCACGTGTGTGCCAGCTATGGTAGCATATACATGCACATAGTACAGTGTATGGCAAAAGATTCCGGTGTATTGTTTTCTTGTACAATTCCTACAACGTCTAGCTCCTCAATGCACACCTAAATGCCAGTTGAATTGTGGAAACCCCACAACATCACTATTTGCATGGTCATCCAAGAATGGACAGAATGCAGTTTAGTCATCCACAATCAGACGAGATCCATCTACCCTTTTAAAGTATCATTAACACAAGAGCAACTAACCAGGTTGATCGGGTGCCCGTCCTGAACTATACATAGCACCTCCCAGTTCCGTAGAGTAAATCTGGGTATTTATGATCTGACGCGATGATGAGCCGTGTGCAACTGAAAGGAGCAAAGAAGAGGACAGGATACACCATTCTTACATAAACTACAGTGAAAATTGATAATGTATCACCATGGGTCGGAAAATCAGTATATTGTTTATAAACAGTTTCCTCTGAGACAAAATGCGATAATACTCATAAAAAGGACACACTTCAGGCTAATTACAAACATTTTGAAAGTTTTTGTCTTCACAAGTATACTTTCAAGCCTGTATTTCACCTGACGAGAAGGCTTGAAAGTATACTTGCGAAGACAAAAACTTTCAAGATGTTTGTAATGAGCCTGAAGTGTGTCCTTTTTATGAGTATGTATTCATTATTTTCACAGGTTTGAGGGAAAGACCCAAACGGGAAAAGTCTGAAGAAGAAATCGATTGTCACCACCAGGACTCAAACCAGGGACCCTCGTTTGTAGCCAGCGGTGCTCTAACCACTTAGCTATGGTGTAGTCGTCATCCCAGCAGAGACCGTTCAACATTTTCTTCAGACTTTGTAACTCACACTTTCTGAGAATCCACACAGGCGGGTGGGACTCCGCCTTCACTGTACCCACACACTTCACGTACAAACTAGCACACGGGAAGCCCCAAGTCATATAACTTTTATCATTTATTATTTTTCTTCAGAATTTTCCCGTTTGTGTCTTTCCCTCAAACCAGTGAATATTTGTTATTTATTATTATTAAATTTTATAGTACAAAAGAGAAAGACCAAGGAACTGCAAGTTACGCTTTACTTTCCCCTAACACCACCAGTTACTAAACAATCAGCTCATGCGATAACATTGCATGTTATTTATGTTATTTCTTTTACTTAGAAACTTCCAAGTTGGAAGGCTGTTGGAGTGCGCAACCAAGATGTGCTAGAGCTATTAGCCAGTTAGTTGTAGAACGTCAGTACCGTCGGTCAGTGTCGTGCAATGTTATCGCATGAGCTGATTGTTTAGTAACTGGTGGTGTTAGTGGACAGTATAGCGTAACTTGTAGTTCCTTGGTCTTTCTCTTTTGTATAAATTAAACCTTGGCTCTCCATCTGAGTCCAAATTTTATTATGTATTTGTATGTTCCCGTTAGAGTCGATCAATGATCCACACTTTCGCTTATGCTGAGGAAGGGACACAGCATCAAATGGTGTCAAACAGAGGTGTCGAACAAAATAAAAACAAAGAGAAGCGTATGTGCTTAGGTGGTGAAGGTATAATGTACTCTGCCTACTATGTTAGCTAAAACACATGAACAGGAATTCACATTCCGGTGGCTGAGATGAGAAAATTAATGTTTCATTCATTAGTGATAAAATGATATTGCAGTAATATTAAAGATGATATTGTTTCAGTCATAGGTCATCAACTGAATGTTTCAGTCATTGCCAATAAAATGATGGTATTGGAGTGTTAAGATGATATTGGAGGGATACGACGATATTAAAATTGACGTTGAATCTTTTCGTTGACAAATGGTATTTCTTTCTTAGTGTTACCTGTAGATATTACACTTGGCAAATCCTCTTGCAGATCTGTTGCCATTGAGGCCGATCCTTGGCAATTTCACGTAGATGATCCAAGTCTGACGCATTCGAGAGGCTACCTTGTCCAGCCCGAGTGATGTCGGCATGAAGAACAGTTGGCAGTGTATTGCGAGGACGACCACGCCATCCACCATTGGCTGCAGCCGTGAAATAGAGGTTCTTGGTCATTGCTGCTGGAATGGTGGCGGCTTGTCGCAAAATGTGACCAAACAGGCGCCATCTTGACTCTTTGACCAAAGCAATGAATTTTGGTGTCCTGCATCTCTCATACAGGGCATTGTTGGAGATTCTCTGTGCCCATTGGATGCCAAGCAGAGATCTCAACTGCTCACGATGGAAGGCATCAAGGCGGGCAGATACTGTTGATGCCAGGCCCCATGTTCCCGAGTTATACACGAGAACTGGCAGGACAAATGCTGAGTACAGCCGGAGTAGACGCTCACTGACATGGGTGCGACGCTTGAATCAACTCAACATAGAGCGAAGCGCTGCAGTTGCTAACTGCTTGCGTCGCACAATATAGAATTTTATCAATTATCAATTATCAACTGTCATCAACTGTCAAGTGAGGGTGTGCAGAGTTTGTAAAAATACATGATCCAAGTCTGACGCATTCCAGAGGCTAGCTTGTCCAGCCCGAGTGATGTCGGCATGAAGAACAGTTGGCAGTGTATTGCGAGGACGACCACGCCATCCACCATTGGCTGCAGCCGTGAAATAGAGGTTCTTAGTCATTGCTGCTGGAATGGTGGCGGTTTGTCGCAAAATCTGACCAAACAGGCGCCATCTTGACTCTTTGACCAAAGCATGTTCCCGAGTTATACACGAGAACTGGCAGGACAAATGCTGAGTACAGCCGGAGTCGTAGACGCTCACTGACATGGGTGCGACGCTTGAATCAACTCGACATGGAGCAAAATGCTACAGTTGCTAACTGCTTGCGTCGCAAGATATAGAATTTTTATCAATTATCAATTATCAACTGTCATCAACTGTGAAATGAGGGTGTTACTAGACTGTACTTTACAATCAGGGGTGTCACAAGGCATTGGGGAGTGGTACGTCCGGGGGGGGGGACCGGGGGTGTCCCACGTGGATGTTTTGGCCAGCAGGGCACGCTTTAGCACCCATCGGGCGCTCTGGGTGGACCATCCTCTGGACGAAAAGTGGTACGACCATGGTCATACTGGTTGTACCGTGTGTGACGCCCCTGCCAATATATAGAGAAAAAAATGGTCCACCCAGGGAGCCAGGAACAGCTATTATGTGCAAGGGCAGCCAGTGGTTCATAATGGCAAGATGGTGTCGGAGTGGGCGTCGCCCCTATTTTTTGCATGTTGCACTTTTTTCTAGGGAACAAACGATTACTGTAACTAACGAACAAGCTATCGAATACTCTTTAACTGTATCTATTTCCTTATGTACGCCGTTTGTCAATGGATGGTATGGAAAATTCAAAATGACCCATTTTTGCAAATCGACCTTTTTCTGGGTTAAGAAACAATTACTCTAACCAACCAACGAGTATTTGTACTAACCAACAAGCTATCAGTCATACCACCACGACTCGAACCAGGGACCTTGCTATTCGCTCTAACCAACTGAGCTACAGTATTACTCTTATCCACAATAATGGCAAATCTCTCCTTTTTTGATCAACTTGATAAATATCTGGCTTGCATCTTACTGACAACTCACATCATTTTTTTGCATTTATTGCTCGCAAATAGCAAGGTCCCTGGTTCGAGTCGCGATGGTGTGACTGATGATTTTTCTTTCTTTCGTATCTGGCTTGCAAGTGTTGACTTTCGGAGAGAAAAGAGCAGTACGAGGCATGTGACCTCTAATTTCCTAATACTGTAAAAATCTCCGTGAAGTCCAACTTAAAATTTTGAGATTGCAATTAATTTTGTGTTTGCTCACAGTGGACATAGTTTGATGTGCTCCCCATGATATCAAGCGAATGGCCGAGGGCCTTCAAGAGTGGTGTGAGTTACCAGTATGATGCAAGCCAGATATTGATTGATCGCAGAAGGATAGAGAATTTGCCATTACTGCGGATAAGAGTCATACAGTAGCTCAGTTGGTTAGAGCATTGCTCGCGAATAGCAAGGTCCCTGGTTCGAATCGAGGTGGTGTGACTGATGATTTTTCTTTCTTTCGTATCTGGCTTGCAAGTGTTGAGTTTGGGAGAGAAAAGAGCAGTACGAGGCATGTGGCCTCTAATTTCCTAACGTTCGGGACTGGTTTAAATCTGGCTTTGCAAATTGTATTGTTCATTACTGTCAGGGTTGATCTCATTTTCTTTGTGCTGCACTGATTAGTCCACAAAGAGCGAAACAGTTCTCTCCACCAAATAAGGATTTCACTCCTGCTCTTTTAGTAGTTGACCACCCTCATGCAGGTAGTGCCTTTGCTGTTTGCGTTATGCATAGCTCACTGACTTTTCTGTTTGAGCACTCTGGCAAGGTACGTTCGGGCCTGGTTTAAATCTGGCTTTGAAAATTGTATTTTCAATTCAAATCAGGTCCGGTCTCATTTTCTCTTTGCTGCGCTGATGAGTCTACGAATGACGAAGCAGTTCTGTCCCCGGATTGAGTATTCCGCTCCTGTTCATAGAAGTTTAGCACTCTCGTGGTTGGTATCGCCTTTGCTGTTTGCGTTATGCAGAGCTCTCTAACTTGTCGGTTCTCTTGTTGATTGTGCTTCTTCTTCCTGTTTGTTGTCATCATTATTATTATTAATTTTTTTTCATGGCAGGTATATTATATATACTAAAGTATTTACACACTAGTCAGAACAACAGATGGCTTGATCAGTCACAACTTAAAGTTTCATGCCATCTCAATACTAAGTATTTATT